GTATGTATATATACATTTATAATTAAAAAAGGTGATAAACTCCGTTCCCATTGACTGTGTTGCATTAAGCAAGATACTAAGAAAAAATAATCACTATTGCATGTTGTTCCCAATGTATTGAAAACATACAAACATCCATGGCTTATTACACACCATGCCATGTCAAAACACTGTGTCTGGGATGCTAAAATTAAGAAGATAAAGAAACTGCAAATGTGTTTTTATTCAAAAGAAGTCAGCGTTGAGTTAGTTGTGTTTACTGGTGAAAATACTGTGATGTGAAATAACATTTCAACAAGAATCTGTGTGATGTCTGCACACACATGAAGTGCTCTGTGTTCTCTTAAAAATATGACATATGTGCCCCTGAGCCAGCATCGGATTTACAGCCGCTTTGAAGTGTCAAAACATGTTTGTGAATGGAGAGAGTGAATGGCAGACAGACTCCCCTGCGGCAAACTTAAAATGACCATCTTTTGTTAAGGCTCCAAGAAAAGTTGGGACAGACGGTGGGGGAAATATAAATCAGCTGACCTTTTCAATTTACCACAGTGATCAAAACCTGGGGAAACATGTACCTGGGCTGAGACTGGCACACAAATTACTCAAAGGTCATGTAATTCAGCTTTACAACAGAAGTCCACCACACTGATAGCATCAGCCGCTTTTCACTGAGAGGGATAAAAGAGAGAACCATGCATGTGAAGGCAATATCACTACTGCTGTTTCCCAGTCTTTGCCAGATTTGATGTTTTCCTCTTTGAGGAGACACTTCACTTGTGTTTAGCTCCTGTGAGCATTTTGGTTTGTCTTGTAGTATAAAAAAATACTGTACCGCACAAAGCCACATGATTAAAATTAATTGAGAATCCACACACTGTTCTCTGGCAGCAGATTTTTTACTTGTTTGTTGAGTGCATGTGTGCGCCAATTCTTCATGCCGAACCAAGCCAATTTGTGTGTGTGTGTGTGTGTGTGTGTGTGTGTGTGTGTGTGTGTATGGGCCTTTGCACAGTGTCAGGGGGAATGGCCTGTTGGGGTTACGGAGGGAGCAGTGTCGGGTGATGAATAGGAGGCTTTTGTGCTCAGTCTTTCAACTGTCTGCACCGGTGAAGGAGAGAAAGGTGCAAGAGAAAAGGGGGGAAGAGGTGAGGGAGATCGCCAGATAAAGCCGGGGAAAGAAAAGACGGGGAGAGATAAAGTGGAGGAAAGGAGGATGAGTGAGACTGTGAAGTGTGGGGAGTACAGGTGAGACGCTGGGGGACGAGAGGTGAGAGAATGGGTGGTAAGGTGAGGAAGTGAAGAAAAGAAACGAGAGACAGACTACTTGTGCATTCAAGAACACTGCAACGTTGTCTCCTCTGACAACAAAGAGACAAAGAAGTTGACTAATGTAGGAAATCATTGCTGTTCATGTCAGTGAGAAAAAGGAAAACAAATGTCCCAGGAGAAAGAGAAAGCCACATAAAAAAGAAGGAGGAGAAGGGAGGGAAAGTGGTTGGTAATTTTGATCACTCTGCAGAACGAGGACCTGACCTCGTGGCCTCAACCTTCACACATGACGAGGTTTGGAAATGAGCCAATCACATTGACGGATGCTGATGAACTCAGCCAAAGCTGCTGATGTTGGTGTGGCCACTTCAGTACATATCTCATAAAGGAACCATTCAGCTGTACCACTTTCCACTAAGAAATATTGTATAATACATTTTAAATGACACAGCATTACAGTAAAGGGCGTTAGAAGGTCAAATGTGATGCAAAGTCTTGATGTTTGATATTTGAGAGACCTTTAAACACTGGGTATAGGAGAAGATATCTGGGTATAAACGATTGATAAATATACTAACAAGAAATGTGTCTGTAGCACTGATCATCCAAAACTAACAAAAACTGAGAGCTGGCATCTAAAGATGAAACAATTAATCAATTATTCAGAGACTTTAACACATCTCCTTTACTATTAGATTAATGTTTTAATGATTCCAGCCTTTTACATGTGAGAATTTCACATAAAGGCATAATGCCCGAAAATATATTCAAAGAAAAAAAAAAGAGAGAATTTGCTGCTTTTCATTTTTCACGTATAGTAAAAGGAACATTTTTGTAGAGTTTGGGACCATTTAATGGGATAAAACAAACAGACTGAAGATGTCTCCTCAGGCTGTGAGAAATTCTGATGGGAGATTTAATTTCACTAACCAACCATTTACAGAGAGAAGATCAAGATCCATGAATTCTTCGTTTTGGATAAAAATGTCCAAAAAAATGCCCTACTTTTTTCATTCCTGGATCTGCCCCCTGATGCAGACCTGCACCAAAGTTTAATGTCTTCTTCCCTGACCCATAATGCATCCTTCTACCAAGTTTCATGGTAATCCGTTCAGTAGTTGTTGCTTGATCTTGCTTAAAATACAACAAACAAACAAACAGGAGAAAAAAACACCCTCCCTGGCGGAGGTAAAGATGCCAAGTCCTAGTGACAGGACTGACCACTGGAGGACAGATGGACGTCTATGTTGCAGTTTTAGTTGAATATTGATGCAGAAGCAAAGAGGATAGTGCCTCTTCGTTGCCTCTGTATCCCTCGGCTAAGATGCTGAACAGCAAGTCAGAATAATGATGCCTAAAACCACAAACATCAACGAGCTGTTGATCAACGAATTAAGAAAGTGGACAAAACAAAATATACCAAATATTTTGTGTATATTATAATATACCAAATATTTTGTGTATATTATAATATACCAAATATTTTGTTTGGGCTCATTTGTAATCCTCTTCAACCCAGATGTTTATCTTTCCAGTCAGCCCACACACATGTGAGTCAGTCACACATTAGGATTTTCATCTCTCTCAACACAAAAAACACTTGAAAATATTCCATTTAGCACCAACAAGCTATTTCCCCTCCGCAGCAAAACAGGAGGAATAATCACAGGGATGTTTCAGTGCCTGTTGATTGAGACATACAGATACATATTCCTGCTCCTTTTTGTTGTTCTGTTCTTTCTATCTGATTCAGAATGAGAATAACGAACCCTAGCGTGGATGGATAATTCTTTTCTTTCTGTCAACCACCAGCGGGTCCTCTGAGGCCATCGCAGCATGGCTTTTCTATGATGAAACAGCAGCAAGCAGGTTGTGGGCTGAGGGAGTGGGCGACCAGGACACAAACTGTTTTTCTCCGCAAACAGCACAATGAGATTTGGACCTGGGAGAGATACAGCATCCATACCTCGAAGCACAGCAGACACAGCATGCATTCTCATCGGTCCCATTTGCATGCAAACAAAATGTGTCATGCTTTCGTTATATCAGGATTAGATCGTGCAAGTCTTTTAGGGGCAGCAAAGGTCACTCTTAATCGACAATGATCGCTCTCAAAGAGAAAGGAAAAGCAGCTAACAACGGAAAAATAGTGTTGATGAAGCCAGGTGATGATGTGAGGAGGCAGACATCATTAGCCCCCATCATCACACTTCATCAGAGAGGGAGTGTGCCTGTTCTGTTAGCGTAATGAGCTGGAAGTACGAACAAAAAGCAGATGGCTTTATGAGTCAGACAATCAGGCACTCATAATTGAATATACATATCATTCATTTCAATATAAGCAGTTAAGCCGTTTTCCCCCCTCCCCGCTGTATCTCAATGGAAATCCATTATCGTGACACTGAGGAGCCGCAATCACTCAGAATCAGCCGGAGTTCAATGAGACTTTTCATTACTGGGAATAATTCGCTGAGGCAGAAGGAGAGTTAGAAGTACAGTAAGAATTGTGCTGATGGATAACAGCGGAGTGATAAACGATGATCCCAGTATTCTGTTGTCCATCCTGGAATTCATGTGACATAGTGTTAATTAGCGCCCGAACGGGTTAGCGGTTGGCTAAAAAAATCGGCCGATATAAGCCTTTCACAGACGGTATCAGCGTTTGCCAATATGAAAATGTTATTTAAGTAGGAAAAAAATGCAGAAAACATTTCACATAAAAAATTACTATTATTAGCTACGACAGGGAGGTTATGTTTCCACTGCTTGTTTGTTTGTACGCAACATTGAGCAAAAGCTACAGGATGGATTACTGCGAAGGAAGGATGCAGCATGGGTAAAAGAAGAACTCATAAAATTTGAGTGTGGATCTGGATCAGCGGGCGGATCCAGGATTCTTCTAACTGTGAGAAGGGAGATTTCAATATGGATGCTGATGAAAAATATATTTAGGGAACTGATATCTATGAGCGTGTGAAATGTGGTACAGTTCCAAATTAAAATCCAGATCTGGAGAGATTTAACGTGGTTTCATAAGGTGTAAGCTTTCATGCTATTTAGATTTGCTTGCATTTGAGTTTTCCTTGTATTTATTTAGTTATTTAATGGTTAAACAAACATCAAGCCTCGTTAACATTTCTTTGTCGACATCTTAAGTGTCATTGCCAATATTTTTTATGTATACACTAAATCGGCCGATAAATCTGTCTCAGAATATCTTTAATCAAGAAATCCATATGAGTAATTTGCTGATGACACAATAACAAAGGTATGTATTAAAAGTGACCATTAGAATTGCCGGTCGTGATCCTTTTACAGAAAATAGCACAATGATTAGCTTTTTGTTTATTTAGCATTTGATCAGTCTGTTTACTGTTGTGATTGAAGTTGGAAATGTGAGTCCTGTCTAACACGTATTCTGCAGCCTCTCACAGTCTGATCACTGGACAGGCTTCATCCAAACTTTCTCTACAGACACAGAAGTGATGCAGGAAACAGGGTTTCCAGCCACATGCACCTGACACTGAGCTGTCAGCGTCTCTGTGTGAGATGAAGTGTTTCAGCTCTGAGTGAAACTGCTCTAATCTGTTTCTCCTCTGCCTGTGGAGCAATTACAGCCTCTTTCTTAATCCCCGATGCTTTCTTCATCCCCCATAAAACCTCCTCTTCCTCCTCCTCATCCTCTTCCTCCTACTTCTCCTCGAGGCAGCAAGTGCAACAGTACTCACCCCCAGCTTCTTACTCCGTATCCGCACGTATCCCTGTTTCACTATGTCGTTGAAGTTGGAAGCCATGGTGAGGGTAGGGGGGGGGGACGCTTCCTGCCCGGAGCCGGAAAACAATTCAATATAAAGTAGTCGTCTCTATTTTAAAACCTGGCGGAAGGTTTTTTTCGCTGCGACATCCAGCCGGTGGCGGGGGAGGCAGAGCGAGCCGGTGAGCAACCTGCCCCTGCGTCCGCGCTCAGGCTCAGGCTGCCCGGTCTCAGCGGCGCGATCCACCCGGGAGAGCAGGGAGGAGGAGGAGGAGGAGGAGGAGGGAGATACCATTCTGCAGCTGATCCACTTCAGCGGGAGGAGAGAGGAGAGGAGAGAGGCGCTTCCTGGACCACACCATCCCCGAGACAGTGAGGGGGGTGGGGTGGGGGGGGATGTGTCTGGCGAGGGTAGGTGGTGTTTAAAGGTCCAGTGTGAAAGATTCAGCTGAGATAATCCTGGTGATGTGTTCATGTGTGTGATCATCTCCACATTTCTTCATCCTATATGAGCCATTTATATTTAAATACTTTATATTTGCATCTGGAGCAAGTCCTCTCTATGTTTGTTTTTACTTTAGCTCAGACTGGACAAACTAAAAACCAGCTGCATCATGCAACTTCACCACTAGAAATAATCCTAGCAAGGATTTCACTAGCATGTGATGATCAGAATTGTTTTTCTTTACCCTAGAATGAGCAATTTATATTCAAATACTATATACTTTATATTTACATCTGGAGTGGGTCCTCTCTTTGGAGGCCGCCATGTTTAATTATGACAACTGAAGACTAGCACACGTTCTCTGTCATTATTGGAAGGGGAGGGTGAGGTGAGGTCAGCTGCAACATGCAAATCCTTTTTCTTCTTTGTTCGATTTATTGGCGGATGGCCACCAACGCCTAGGTGCACCATTCATTGGATCTGCCTCCCCTTCCCTGTTCATCCTGTACGTTACGGTTTATATTTGATATTTGTTCCTTGTTTCGGTCTACTGGCGGGTGGCAACCTGCTGTGAATCAGAGTTATCTAGGTCATATTCAATTATTTTGTCCGATCCTGTCTCTTTCAGATAATGGAGCACACTCGCTATTCCAGTGGTAAATACTATTTCCAAGCTCAGTTTTTCCATTCTATGCTTTCTACTGCTTCTTCTTGTTTTTTGTTCGGTTTATTGGCGGTTGGCAACCACTCTCATTACCGTGCATTACCGTTCCTTTACCACTAGATGTCACTAAATTCTAAACACTGAACCTTTAAATCAAAAGAGGTGCCAGCCACTTCAGATGCCCTTACCTTTTTTTAGGTTATTATTTTTAAGGCCTACTGCAGGACTTGTGATATGGTCAATGACTCATTTCTCCAGAGGCTCAATTGAAAATTAATTAATCAGTGTTGCCTTGTGGCGTAGCTGACTGATGTTTGTCCTTGGTCAGTCTTTTCTGTGAAAAATGGGCTCAGTCATAATAAAATGCTCACATCTCTGGAATGAAATAATAGCCTATTAAAATGTGCCTTGATCATTAAAGTGACACTTTGTAACCTTTGAATGGAGTAACAGCACTTTCTTCCTCTTGCAAATTGAAAGTTGAAAAATTTCCCAAGCGGAGACATTCTAATTCACGTTACATTAAACCTCGGAGCTTGGAATTTCCAACCCAGAGTCAGAAGTTGCAACTGGAATGCCCCCTCATGTTGGAATTTCAACTTGGAAAGTCGGAAGCTTAATGCATTATTATGAATTGTTTTAGCTAACAATGGCTAGCTGGCTAACGTAAACATTGCACCTGTGCAACTGGAACGGTTTCAACTTGGGTTATTCTGGAGTGACGTCATTCAGGGTTTGGGTTCAAATTCACACGAGTCACAATGTTACAGATTTAATATAGAAAAATATAATATTATAATAAATTTAGACTAATATGGGAGATTATATGTTAACAGGGATTTGGTTGTACTTTTATTTATAAAAAGGTAGAATGATATTGCTATATAATATAAGACAGCTCGAGAAATATACTAATACTGGGCACATGTCATTCATACTTGATCAGTGCAATCATCCTCACTTTTATCATAACACCCACCCTGTTCCAGTAAGATTATGTTTGAATGAATTTTGATGTGATGAAAGATATTGCAAATATACAACAGAGACGGATTATAATAAAGATATACAACAGGAGATTGCCAGTGTGTGAGAGCTGTGTTTTGTTATTATTAGGGGCCATAAATTGATGTCATTTGATTTGTGGAATAATACAACCAGACACCCCAGTGCCCTATTAAAGGATACAATTAATTTGGAGTGAACCAGTTGAAACAAATCTCACAACCACTGCCTGCAACTTGTGTAATATAAATACAATGCTGCCAGTTTGGCAGTCAAAAAGATTTGGAGATCAAAGAACAAAAACAAATTTTGTGCTCTGCCAAAGACATAATCCTGATCGGGATGTAGTGAGAGGCGTAGCTCAGGTTGTGCAATCGTACTGAGTGAAATCCTTGGTATTAGACAGCAGATGGCTCAGGTATATTGAGCTGAGGGGCTGCCATTACTTATGTTGATTAAAATGTGCAGAAGAGAGATGGCTTATCTAACCCAGTTACATAAACAACTTTGTGATTAAGTGGCTATCAGTCTTTTTACTTCCAGAATACGTCTTCACAGATTCCATTATTTTACACTTTTCAATGTAACAACGAGAAAGCAACATAGAATTATGATGCAGCGTCGGAAAACCAGTTTTCTATTTATAAATGAGGATGTGAATGCTCCTACGCAGCCTGTCTTTTGTAACTCTGCACAATCATCCCTTGCTCATACTAATTTATTTATTTGTTCTGTAGCACTGAAAGAAAATATCCTCCGCTGAGAATGAGGTAGGTCTTTTGTTCTGTGCGGCATTGATGGCTGCCACTTTGAGAAGAGCTTTTCAGTCAAGTGTCAGTCTTGAGTCCAGAGGTAAAAAACTCAATGTCTGTATTTTCATTGCATTCACCAGAGCACACAAAAACCACGAGCTGCCATCCTCCAACACGCAGCTTGACATTTATAGTTCTCATATCTCCCTGGAAGTGTCCTCAAATTTCAGACTTGTCAAAACTGTTTTGTATTCGTAATCCTCTTTGTACAACATGGCCCCGTTCCATTCGCACTGTCTTGTCATCCTGTCGCTAAACAGTGCTGACAGCAACAATGTCTTTTCATCGCACTAAATATTGTGCTCTGGTGACTGTCATCACCAAGAACTGGCCTAGTTTTGGGGGGAAGTAATTGCCTGCTGACTCGAGGCCGACAACCAGTCTGGCCGTGGTTGGTCTCAGGTAGCGAGGCTGCAAGGGCAGCATGGGGGATGCTACACAACACGACATATGGCCCTGACATACATGAACGGCTGCCAACAGGGTCAGATGTGTTGAGAGCCACTCAAGAGCAGAGAGACCTTCACCAAGGTCACGAGCGAAGCAGCCAGTATCTGCTGAGCTGTAGAAAACAACTCTTGTCCAATAAAGTAGTTTATCAGGTATTGACCTCATAATCATTACAATTTTTCATGGTCATTCCACACTTCATATCCAAGTACCTTCATGATGATTAATTTTGGCTTAACTGTGCACAGAGAAACCATGTCGTCCATTACAGCACTAAGCATCCCTAAAAACCATACACGCAGCCAAGGCGAAAGCAAACTTTAAATCCTTTTGATGGTCTGGTGAAATATTAAAATTGCCTTTGCATTGGGTGCGTAGCTTGTCTTAGTGCTATTTGGCACACATTCACAAGCACCAACAGCTAAATAATTAACACATTCTAAAAAAGATAAGCAGAGGGAGCGAGGGGATGAGGGAGAGAAAATGTCGCTCCATGCTGAGCTGTTTGCCAGGTAAGCATTTTTACATGTGGGCGGAGAAGCGAAAATAGGCACGAGTTATGGTAATGTTCCGCTCCGGGTTCCTGTACTCACGCTTTTTACAGCAACGCGTATCAGCCTGATATGTTAATAGGCACAATGGGATTTGGGTTTGATTAAATGTCAATGCCTAGAGGAAAGAAGTGAGTGTGGACTGATAAAAAAAGCCCATTTCTCAGAAAAAGAGATGTGGGCTGATTTGGGCTCAGTTGGTCCTTGGCCACGCAACGGAGGATGTTAGTTAGTCACACGGTGCAGGACAGCGAAGGTTGTGTGTAGTCCCAGAGGATGGGGCCATGGCATGTTTGTGACTTACTCTATATAGTTAGAAGTAGAAGTGGTTAGAGGGTCTTTCTGTCCTTCTGTGTAAGGTGAGTCGTGAGAATGGTCGATTGGACGGGGTCCTTTAGCTCAGTCGCTGATGAGTTTATGAGTAGCTCGGCTGCGTCTAGTACAAGGGTTCCTCAGATCACCAAATTAACTGAAAGAGATTTATTAGCAGAGCTAAGGATAAGTAATTTAATTCTCACCATAGCGTGTCTGCGTGTGCAAATTAAATTGCGAGGTAATACAGCACATACACCTTCCCATGATTTGTCTTTTTTAAATTCTCGCCGTCAAAAGTGAGGCGATGGCAACATTTGCATTCGGAGGAGATTTATAATTGTACATGAGCGCATGAGTCAGGAAATAAACATTAGAGGTAAACTATATCAGAGAGAGATCATTATGCTAACAGAGGAGGATGAAAGGAAAGTGAGTGGGGGGGTTGCAGATGACGGTGACGCAGAGGGAAAAAATACAAGAGCGTGGACACACTGAAGAAGAAAAGGAAGGGAAAGCTCTCAGGGAAAGGCTACACCTCCGGCTGTTTTGACCCAGTCTTTGTGTCCTAAATTGGGGTCCATCTTGTGTCACGGAGAGACAGAACCCTCGGCCAGATCTCGGGAGACTTCGCTGTTCTGCTGCTGTGGTGTTTCTCATAGAAAGACGACCACAGTTCACTACATTCTGTAGAAGATAGAGGAGCCTCACTCCCACGAGAGGGATGAGAGGCCTGTTTTCTCTTCTTTTCTTCTTTTCATTTAATGCAGCCAATTTGGAAACTAGACACTGAATTCATCAACTTTCAAGGCAAAGCATTGGCTGGTCCTGGATCACTGATCAGGTCCTTCATGCGGCCATCTCATTTACTTCAATTGTCTATAATATGCAGAGATAATTGATGGATTAGTGCTGTTGCTCCAGGAGTCATCCTTGTCTTGTGCTGTTATTATTCTGACCAGCCCTTTTAATCAT